TTCGACAGCCAGCTGAGGACCTCGCTTGCCACGCGACGGTCCAGCACATCATGATGCGGGCCATGGGCCACGTCGATTGGCGTGGCCACCCGAAGACCGGCCTCTGACACGGCGGCCGTCGCTCGGCCGCAGCCCGAGAAGATCTCCAGGAAGGCCGGGCGCCCGCTGGTGAGGCCATCGGCCAGCCGCGGCGCCGTGCAGCCGGCGGCCGCGGCCGCCGCCGCCCGTCGTCGCTGGCGCCGAGTGGGCCGCGGCGGCGTCGGGGGCTCCGACTCCGCGGCGGAGGCCCGAGGCGACTCGTCGCAGCTCGAGGGCTCTCGAGGGGTGCTCCGCCCGATGTCCTCTGGCGGGGCGGCGGGCGTCGGCGCCAATGCCGGGCCCGCGGCGGCGGCCAAGGGCAGCGCCCGCAGCCCGCGGCCCGCGAGCCGCTGTCCAGGTCGAAGCCACCCATGATGAGCCAGCCTGGGGTCGCCGTCGGAAGGGTTCCGGGCGGTCTCCACGTAGCGCCGATGCCAAATGATGCCGGCGGCGAGCTGGCACGCGGCCGCGCGGCGCGTGAGCCCGAGCAGCTCTCGATCTCGGGCTCGCCCGCGATCGAAGGCCAACGTCTCGGCGAGGTTGTCGCCGAAGGAGACCAGGTGCTTGCCGTGCGCGTCGCAGCACTCCGCCTCCCTGGTGAGTCCCAGCAGTGCCGCGCGGGCCTCCTTGCAGTGGATGGCGGCCGCCCGCTTCCAGCGCCCCGCGACGCGGCGGTGCCAGCGCCTGGGGTCAGCGAAGGCATCGCGGCATCCGGCACGCGGGGCACCAGCCCGACACGCTCCACCTGCGGCCCGCTCCGCGGGGTGCTGCCGCGGGTCGCCCTGCCTGAGGATGGCGCGCTCGTCGGGCGAAGGCTCGAGCTCGCCGTCGACCCAGGCAGAGAAGTCGCCAGCCGGCCCAGCGCTGCCCGCCAGGCCGCCCCGCAGCTCCTCCCCGGAGGCGATGGCGGTCGGGTCTTCATCGATGCACCGCCATCGCTCCCGCCAGACTGCGACATCCCACAGCTGGTGCTGGTCCGCGGCGGAGACATGCAGCGCGTAGCCCTCCGTCGAGGCGTCGCTGCAGTAGGCCCGGTCCAGCATCGGAGCGGCCAGGTCGAGGCGCACGAAGTGGACGAGGTCCCTGGCGATCCGCAGTTCGTCGACCACGTCGGCTGGCAAGGGCAGAATCTCGGTGCCGCCCGTGCCCACGAAGCGGCAGGCCGCCCCCAAGACGCCGAGGGCACACCGCCGCAGGCTGAAGTGATGCACCAGGTGGCCCAGGAGGCCGCGGACGTGGTTGGGCGAGAGCGCCCCGCGGTGGATGGCCTCCCCCAGGGCATGCCAGAGTCGCCAGCTGCGCCGATGGCTGTGCCTGACCCAGCGCCGCTGGCCGTCGAAGACCAAGCCCGCCGCCTCGAAGGACTGCGTGGCGTCCACCCGCTCGTGGACCCGCAGGCCCATGCCGACCAGCTCGTCCACCACCGCGACGTGCAACCGCTCGACTGCGTCCCTGTCGCACCCGAGGATGTTGGCATTGTCCACGTAGGGCGCGCAGACCGCCACTCCAGGCCGAAGGGGCGGAGGGGGCTGTCGGTCCCCGACGATGACGGGTCCCAGCCCCAGGCGCAGCTGGGCTCGGCGACAAGCCTCGGACACGGCGCTGTGGCAGAAGTAGAGCGCCCAGCTCCAGCCCGTCGGCAGGCCCCCGAAGCAGACCTCGAGCTCATCCGTCGCGTCGACGGGGGCGTAGCCGTTGACCTCAGGATCGTAGACCTCGGCAACGCCAACCTCGCCAGCGCGGCGAGACACGCCAAGCCCGAAGAAGTGCGAGACCGTAGGCGCCAGGAACTGGTAGAATTCGTCCTGCAGGTCGATCGACGCTCCCCAGAGCTCGGCCTCGTGAGTCGGGCTCGCCTCAACGAAGTGAGGGTCGAGGACCAGGCTCGACATGGCCGCGGTCGTGGCGAGGCGGGTGTAGGGGGCCTTGCGATGCAGCTGGTTAGTCGGCCGACAGTCCAGCACCATCCGCAGCATCCCCGTCTTCTTCGCCACGAAGAAGATACCCACGCGGGAAACGACCCGGCGGCGGTACGTGATGAGGCCGACGGAGTCGAGCTTCGAAATGAGGTCGTCCAAGAGGGCGGGCGACCTCCGCAGTCGCTCGTCCCAGTGGGGCCGCACGGGGGGCGGCCCCTCGGCCTCCGCCGGCAGCGCGACCCGGCGTGGGTCGTCCAGGTGCACCCGCGCGGTCTCGCCCGCGAGCCCCGCGGCGTCCTGGGGTCGGATGTTGCCCTTTGTGGCGGCGAGCAGCTCAGGCTGATAGGGAGCAACGGCCAGGGCGGTGTCACTCTCATACAGGTCTTTCGTCTTAAGGATATCAGAAAGGGCCCCGTCCGGGCACAAATCAGATTGTCGAGGCTGCGGCGCGGCGGCTTCTGCGGCGGTCGCGAGCCTCCTCCACGCCAGCCGCTGCGGACCCGAGAGCGGCCGACGAGGAGTCGCGTGGGAGAGCGGCCCTGGCGAGGGCACGCCCTTGGCCCGAGCACCCGCCAAGGCGTTGAACGCCGATGCCGCCGAAACCTGCAGTCGACGAAGCCCAGGGTCAGGAAGCAGAAGACCATCGGCGCCAGGCGACGCCGCACTAGATGAATTGGCATGTTCTGGCAGATCCAGAGGGAAAAGAGAACGTGGCCGAGGTGCCGCCATCCCAGACGAGCCAGGCTGCAGCGAACGCGATTGTGGGAAGGCCCACGTGTCACGACTTCGTCCCGTCCTTCTTGCGCCTGTCCGTCTCTTCTGCGAACAGTCGCTGCTGTTTGAGTGTGAAGGCCTCCGTCTTCTGCTCCTCCGCGATGAACTTGGCGAAGTCGCCTGTGGCCGCCGCCGTTCCCGAGTCCAAGGTCGATGCGATCATCATCTCGAGGCCTCGGAAGTCGGGACTCTTGGGCGAGCGCCGAACAGCACGCTCGATGTACATCACCCTTCGCGCCAGCATCTCCATGCCCGCCAGGCGGTAGATCTCCAGCTGGTCGAAACACAGCGTGTGGTGGAAGATGCTGAGGAGGGAGGCATGGTGGTGGGCGACGGCAGTGTCGGGGCCAATGCCCGAGGCCCGGACCCAGTAGTCGTGGTAGGTGCCGACCGTCTCCCCCGTCGAGCGGATCATCGCCATGAGCTCCATCGCCGCGCTCGGGCCCCTGAAGGGCCAGTCGGCGTCGGAGGAACCGTTCGCAGCGGCACCCGCACCAGTCGGCACCCGCTTCTGCAGCGCCGCCATCGCCTCGCGGAGCTCGATGTACCGGTGCTCCTGCCCGTCCCTGACGATCGGCACCACCCGCGGGTCGCGACCCGCGCCCGACCTCTTCTCCTCCTTCCAGTCCTCGAGGCCTGCGGGTGCGACCCGCTCCAAGGCCGTCCAGCGGTCGTCGATGAGCCCCAGGGCCGTCGACCCCCGCTGCACGAAGCGCGCTGGGTTCCCCGACGCGGCGGCATCGATCGGCTCCCCGAACTGGTCCGCGCCCGTGTCCGAGACCACCCAGACCGCGACACCTCGCCCCGGAGGGGCGGCCACGCCCCCGATGAGCACCGCCAGCGCCTCGCCCTGCTGCTGGAGGGCCTGCAGCTGCTCATCGGGGAGGTCGCCGAACATGTAGATGTCGCCCCGCACCCGCGCGGGCACCTCGCACCCTCGGGCGAGGGGCACCACCCGATGGTTGGCCAAGTCGAGGACCTCCACATTGTAGTCCGGGGTCGAGACGACCCACTTCGTGCCATCGCCCACCCTGTTGAGGAGCAGGCGGTGGTGCCACGTGAAGTTGTCGTCGTCCGGGAAGTCGATTGCCACCTGCGGGCTGGCGACGTCCAGGGCGAGGTCGCGAGCCCGAGCCGCCATTACTTGCGGCTACCCCGAGGTCGCCAGACCTCACTCTCGTCGGGCGTCTGAAGTCCTGACCGACTCGATGGACTCGGAGGCCCACCAGCGCCCAGAGCAGGCAGCCCACGAACAGGAGCGACGCCCGCCACGGCCGGCGCCGCGCCGAGGGCGACTCGGCCGATAGGCGGGACGCCGAGGCTCGCCCCGCCCTCCGCCGCTGCTGCGAAGCGGCCGTTGCCCCACCAGCGGCACGCGCGGGCCGCCCACAGAAGCAGCGCCGCGCCCGCAAGGGGCAGAAGCCCGAGCAGCCAGAGCCCGAGGCCGGCGCCGTGCGCCGCGGTGCAGGCTGGGCACGCCGGCACGATGACCTCCGGGCACGGAAGCGCCTCCGGGCAGGAGGCCGGGGGGCAGACCGCCGCCGGGCAGATCGGCTGCGGGCAGTGGTCCAGCTCGTGCGCGACCACGCACGGCGCCGGCTCCAGCGGCGCGGGGCGGCCCGAGAGGCAACCGAGGAGCGAGCCCGCAAACCCAGCGATCGCGGCGAACGCTGGATGGGCGGAGCGCATCACACCTGGCTCAACCCTGAGCCAAAAACTTGAGATGGGGCCGGCTACGATCGTGACTACGATAATATGGCACACCATCAATACCTACAGGCACCGATGCACACACATACACATTTGTAGCATGTGCGCATATACATAGCTGTATACATACTTATTATATATGTGTATGTTTTTAGTCGTATAGTGACATCGGGAGAGAGAGAGAGAGAGAAAGAGAGCGAGAGAAAGCACTAACAAACAAACAATCGTGCCTGAACATGGACATCTGCATGTGGCCATCGCCACGCCAACGCGGGACATTCGGCTCGATCCGTGCTGTGGGCATGGCGGCATGACGTGCGGCTGAGAAATCATACTCGGACAGCAACTCCCGCAAGAGATCACGGCGACATTACGCAGTGGCTTCAGCAGGCCGCCAGCCAGGCACACCGCGCAGAAGAGATGGCGGTCACGCGCAGACTCACCTGGGCAACTTACAACTGCAAATATCCGAACAATCGTCGCCCGTCCACCACGCCGCCCCGCTGGCAAATGGCGGTCCGGCAAACTGATACTCCCGCTTCCGTCGAGATCAAATGCACGGAATACCACTGGCGTCTGGTGACGCCTCGGGCTACAAGTGGAGTTCAGTGCCCGAGCCCGCGGGCGAGGGAGGGACGAAGGAGCAGGGAATTGAGAGGAAGGAGAAACGAAGAGACGCAGAAGGAGGCCTCCCCCTCCTCCACCTCCTTGGCGTGTGGAGGGGGGAAGGGCGATGGAGAAGGAAACAACGCCCTCCTCCTCCTCCTGCTCCGCTTGACCCGTGATACATCCCTCCTCACGTTCCTCTTCACAACGGGCCCCACTGGCCGATTTACCCCCCTGGATGGGGATACAGGTCGTTCCCTTCTGGTTTCGAGGGGTGTATCCCCAACTGGGGTGGTACTTTGGTGGGGGTCTCGAAGGGGATGGAGATGGGGATGGGTATAGGTTGAACGATACCGAATGGCGAACCCTCATGGAGGGGAGGTCCCTGGAGGCTCCTGGCAGCCCGACGGGCCCCCCAAGCTGCAGCCCCCGCTCGTCGACAGCGACGACGGCCCGCGGGCACGGCCACTCCCAAACGTCCTGGCTTGAGCTTTTGTGGGACGCGCAGAGACAGTCCCCAATCAGTGCTTGCACTGAAGGGGTCCTAGCGGAAACTGAAAGACTTGGCGAACATCTCCCGCCGATTCTGGTAGCAGGCTGGGTTCCCGCGTTCCCGGTTCTGGGTTCCCGCGTTCCCGGTCATTGGTCCCGGGCCGATTTCGGTGGGCTCTGGGTTCCTGGGCTCCCGGGTTCCCGGTCGAAAGCGACTGTCACGACGCATATATTCTTGGTGCGCGCGTCGCCCCTGGGGGGCGACGCACATATAGTATAAGTATGTTGGGGTGACGCCGATTTTGTTCACCGCGTGGCATCCCAAAGCCCGGGTCCTCTTCCCGTGAAGCGACTTCTCATCCCGAGACATGCCTTGACGGTCCCAAAGACCGAAACCGATCCCAGAACCTTCCGTCACAACTTTGCCCACCTGAACAGCTGAACTTCTCCCCACCCAACAAACCACCCCAACCCGAAGACACCGATTTGCCCTCCATTTCCAGTGGGGTGGGGGTCGGGGAGCATTGAAAAACTATATATGAAGCCCGCACCCCCACCCCAACCCGAAATTCGGCTTTTCGGGTTTTCGGGATGGGTTGGGGTGGTCTGGTAGGTAATCAACTTCACACTTCACGTCCTCAGCCGCATGAACAGGCGAACTGTGAACAACCCGCGAGCCGACCTGCGATAGGCAAACATATCCGGTGACCCCCCTGCTGGCGTCGGCGGCGACGCCAGCCTCGGCAGCGACGATAGGGGCGAATAGCCCAGGGGCGGGCATCACATGTATAACCCAGGAGCCTGTTCGATGACATATGTCATCGGCGCACCTGAATACATGTTTTGCTCCCCCCTGGGCTATTCGACCCTTTCGTCGCCTCCGATGGCCGCAGGCCTGAAGACTCGCAAACCGTTGCTTCCCGCCTGAACAGATATGATTTGCATTGGCGCGGGCAGCGTGGCTGCCACTTCCGCCGCGGTTCTTGTAGAGGCCTCCCACATAGGTCCGAGTAGATTGGGTCGGAGGATCCCGCCGCATCGCCAATGCATCGGCGACCTCGCCGATGCATCGGCGACGTCGGCGTGGGGAAACACGGGTTCTACATCGAGCCGTATCGTCGATCCATCGGCGATGCGGCGCTATCCTCCGACCCCATCTGCTCCGACCCCATCTTGTAGGCCTAGATCTTGAGCAGGGACCGACCGTTCCGGCATTCGCATAGGCCTGCCACGACATGTTCTCAGAACCCCAAACATTCTCTAAACACAAAACCAACGTTCTTATAATATCAGCCCGATGTGCTAAAGCAAGACAGGCTCAGCCAGAAATGCTCAAAGAACATTTCGCGCAACCCACAAACTGTTCTTATAGAACATTTGTTGGTGGGCCCGTAGGCAGGCCAGGACGCCTCGCCACTGCTTGAAGGACGCCGGGACGGGCCTCCGATGCTCGAGGGCCGATCCTCGCCGGCGGCGAGGGCGCCGACTCGAGGGCGCCGCCCCCTGGAGGGCCGGGCTTGGCCGGGCCCGCGCCCGCTTCGGCGGTGGACAAACCTCCCTTTAGTAGACCTCCCCTTAGTGAAAACGGCCTGGGACCGAAACCGACGGACCTGGACCCGCAAAAATGACGGCCGCGACGCCCTCTCGCGAACCGAAAGCGGCCAATTCCTTAAATCGACGTGTCAGGGTAGGAGGTCTGTCCACCCCCGACCGCTGGGGCGGGCGCTGCAGGCCGAAGCGCTCGTTGAAGACCCGGAACGTCGCCGGGTGGCTCATGCACCTCGCGAACTCCTGTTGCGAATACCCTGACCTTCCAGAGAGCTATTTTTTAGCACGGGAGGCCTAAAAACCTAAAAAAACTAGACGAAACAGCCTAAAACCAAGACACATAATTGCTCTGGGATAGGTTTTTAAGTCGCGTGCTATTTTCTAGCCCTCCTGGAAGGTCAGGGATCGGCAAGTTCGCGTCGTGCCGGCCCTGGCGTTGGCTCGCGACACCGCGGGGATCGTTCAAGCTCGAACGATCGGGCGTTCCGTGACCGCCTGCTCGTTCAACGACGGGCCGACTCTGGATCACGGGCGGCGTTCAACCTTGGAACGCACGCGGTGGGGTCGCCGCTGGTCGGCACGACACGAACCTGCCGTATGGCTGCGTGATAGAATCGGACCCTAGCCTTATGCTGCTCCCATCGTACTTAAGGACCACATCCCAGAAATAATTTCGAGCACCCCGAAAAGTGTCGAAAGAGTGTCGACAGAGCGTCGAAACAGTATCGGACGAGTGTCCCCCAGGGCCCGACACGAGAACCCCCCCGTACTTTCCTGGCGCTCGAAATTCTTTCTGGTGATCAAGGCTAAAGTCGGTTGGAACATCATAACCCTAGCCCAGACACCTCGAAGCATCCGCAAAAGTACGACGGGGAGCTTTTCCACCGCTCTCTGCCCGTGGGGGCCCCTTTCCGGGTCCTGGGGCCGTCAAGAAAAAAGTGGATGAAGAAACGAAGACCTCAGGGAGTTGACGTTGAGTTGACCTCAGGGAGTTGACGTTGAGTTGAAGTCCGGGGTCTGGGTCCAACGAGAACACTGCCCATAGCAGAAATGAGCTGCAGGCCTTCTGTCGCTGCAGGGTTAATTCTGGGCCAAGTCCACATCGCAGAGCGGGTGTTATTGCTTGGTTGATCTTGTTTTCTGGCGTAAAGAAAAACCCTCCGTCAGTCAAACTGGAAGAAACGTAAGGACTACGGCACGTTTGTGTCGTTACGACCCTGGCGTTGGTTTATGACACCGCGTGGATCATTCAACCTCAAACGATCGTCGGCTTTACGATGACCGGATCGTTCCTCACTGGACGATTCTGGGCCACTGGCGGCGTTCAACCTTGAACGCTCGCGATGGGTCGTCCCCACGTCGACAAGACACGAACGTACCGTGTGATCAAACCTCCCCACGTCGCCCATGAACTTCCGCTCCCCGCCTTCCCCGTCCCGCCCATGTCCCACGTCTCAACTGCCTCCCACTTCCGCTCCTTGTACTCGAGTGTCCCATTGCCGTTCTGGTCGGCCGACGTGAAGAGGTCTTTGATGAACTGCAAGTCCTTGACACGCTCGTACTCGTCATACGCGAGATGAAACGGCTTCTGAAAAGTGTTCCTGGACGAGATCCGCAAATGCGCCTCCTGGCACGTCGGGGCGTGGCACGCGTTGGAAAATCAATAAATAAAAAACACGCAAAACCCGCCAAACACTTGCTGGACGTCCGTCGTGAGCGGCCAAGAGGGGGGTGTCCAAGAGAGGGGGTGCAAATCATGACCGGCGGCACGTGCGCGGCCCAGCGGGGGGGCCAGGGACGTAATGAAACAAGAAGAGGCGCCATGAAATCTCGGGAAATATCATGGCCCCCGCCGTGATATTCCCCCCCCCCTAGTCCTCACCCCCCTCTTTGCCGCCCCCGAACACGAGCTGGTGAGGCGGACACGATCAGGCGGGGCAGCGGCCCGCGCCAGAAAAGAAGGCAAGAGGACGCCGAAGATGGCCCCGATACGAGGCAAATGGCCCCCAGAGCGGCCGACGACCGCTCCCAAGAGGCCGAGGCCCTCAAGATACGACACGCGTTGCCTGCCCTGAGACTTCTGAACAAATAGTGCCCTAGTCCTCACCCCCCTCTTTGCCGCCCCCGACGCCGCGCTGGGCCCTTCCCCGTCGCGCGGAGCGCGCCGGGGCGTCGCTGGAGGCGTCGCCCCGGGCGGGTCCAGCGCCGATCCAAACAAATCCAAGCGGACCTCCGTAAGCAGGTGCATGTTCATGCAATCGTTCTTCCTCGAGCAACGCTCGTTCTGTCTGGAAAAGGCCTTCTCCTAGTGGCTTCAAGACGCCACTAGGCCACCGAATGCAAATTATCCGGGCAAAAGACCCAAGCATACGCTGTGGTCAACCCCGCGTGGTGGGTACCGCTTTCGGTGGACCTCCCCATGGGGCCACGAACCGTGTGAGGGGTGTGCCGAAATTGGCGTCGGGCGTATGCGGACCTTGCCACTGGGGCCCTCGGTGGAGTTCCCTGTGGGACCACGAACCGAACGAGGGGTGTGCAGACATGAGCGTCGGGTGCATGCGGACCCTGTCCACGAACCGTGTGACGGGTGTGCCGACATGGGCGTCGGGCGCACGTGGTCCGTGCCACTGGGGCTTTCGGTGAGGCTCCTACGGGGCCACGAATCGTGTGTAAGGTGCGCCGAAATGTGCGTCGGGCGCATGCGGGCCCTGCCACTGGGGCCTTCGGTGCAGCTCCCAATGGGGCCACGAACCGTGCGAGGGGTGTGCGAATATGGGCGTCTGGCGCACGCAGGCCCTGCCACGCGGGCCCTGCGGTGCAGCTCCCGCATGGGGCCACGAACCCCGGGAAGGGGGCGGCGGAAAGGCTGGCGCGCGGAGGGCGGAGGCAGGAATGGGAGGAGGAGAAGATGTTTCCAACAGCAACCCAGCCCGTCGACCGTTAAACAAGCGATGGCAAGCCGAAGCGCGGCTGGCACGCGGGCTCGATGGAGGGCGCGCGCTGTGAGTGCCCTTCCCGGAACGAAAACACGTCCAACAATGTTCGCCAAACGCCTCATTCACAGCTGCCGACATCGCCCACAAGGCGCGGAGGGGCCTCCGCGGTGCCACCAAGAATACAAAGCGACCGACGCTGATCGTCGGACTTGGCTGCGAGACCAGGAAGCTGGAGGAACAGCAATTGAGGTCCTGTCTGGCACCACCAGCAGGGCGGGGCGGGCGCTGTCACGGGGCGCCCCCGGCACAGGACCCGTCCCACGACACCACCATCCACCCAGACAAATTTGGAGCAAGCCCCAAAATGTCTGAATAATGCCGCTGTCTCCGCGGTGAGGGATGCAGCGTGCTGGCACGCACGAGAAGACACAAAAAGTGAAGTCCTGCCTGACACCGCCAGGGCAGGACGGGGCGGGTGCTGTTTTGGGGCAGCCCCAGCACAGGACCGGACCCACGACCCCAACATCCACCCAGACAAAAATGGAGCAGGCTCCTCAATGTCTGGTCATTGGCGCTCAGCGAGACCTGTTGGCAGCCCTCGCTGCCGCCTCGCCCTCGCGCGCCGCCGCTCGCGCCTGGAGGGCCAACAGCACTGGGGCAAGTATTACTCCACTGGTCGGCGCGGGCAAACTGACTTCACGAGACGGGGGCTTCTGGGCTGCAAGATCAGAAGAACGCCACTCCACGTTTCGTGCTCTCGCTAACCGTGGTGACGGCGGCGAAGCTGCAAAGCTGGAAAATTCGGCGGAAAAGGAAGGGAACTCCAGACAACGGTCGCCGGAGGCACTCTCGGCCGAGCAGACGGCGCCGCGCGGAGGAGTGGGCTCCGCGCGCGGTGTAGGAAGAAGAGAATTAGCAGCTGCTCCCCGTCCTCAACGAAACAGCGGGCCAGCGCGCGCCCCGGGGAACGGTCCAGGACGCCGCGCCAAAATGCACCCGGGCCCTTGCAACCTAACATGGTGAAGGGGCCCTGGGACACACAAATAAATACACACAAATAACAGGACTCCCCATATTTTCCAATATTTTCTGGATTTTTGTCCCCCCCCTCACTTCCCATACTCTCCCATATGTTCTGGGGGATCGACGATGAATTGTGTCTGTGTGCTTTTTCCCCCCTGACATGGGTCGTTCCGACAGCCCCGGGAAAGCGGGAGACAGCGCCGACATCGCGCGCGCCCCAAGCCGAGCTCCTGCCAGGCGCGCCAGCCTCCGTTTTTTTTTTTTCCGGGGGAAAAACTCGGCCTCCGGACCCGTCGGCAACCGAACGAATTTCTCCGCGGGGTTGGCCGCCAGTGCTGTGCCAGCTAATCTCGCCGCGAAAACCAAAGACTGACATTCCCTGGCTTCCTCTTCTCTTTCACGCATGCTGGGTTGGGGGTGGAGGAAAGAGAGCCCGCTTGGCCCAGCCGTCTGGATGCAAATTACCCACTCCGACGCGTCCCTCTGGCGCGGGCAGGGCGCCCAAGACCTCGCGGCTGCGGTGCGCGTGGGTGCGATGCACGGGCGGAATAACAACTCCCTCGTACAGCAGGGCTCCGCGTCGAAGAGCAGCACATCTATGCGCGCGAGAAACTTGAGACAATCTAAGCGCGCCGCGCAATATGACCACGCTCGCGCTGTCTGAGCGTCGATCGCCTCCACGCCCCTGGAACATTGGGAGCAAAGCCGTGCGCAGATGTTCGGGAACTTGATGCGCTTGAGAAAGGACATCATGCACCTTTCCTTTTGCGCGCGCAGATGTTGAATCGCGGGGCCCCAGGAACAAACAAACGCAGGAAAAACGCCCAGGATAACTCCCGAATCGCGCGGCGAGGGGCCGAACCATCCATGGCAACCTCGCGTCCCGAGAAAACGATGGACCCCAAATCCGCAATTTGCCCCTCGGGGTTGGGGGCGACGGCGGGCGGGGGGTAGGCGTCCTCAGGGCGCCCCAAATTCAACTCATCAAGGGGCAACCTACCGCGGTTCTCGAGAGCCTCGGCAATCCATTCAGCAACGGGGTCGTCTGCGACGCACCCCCTTTCTGCAGCGGCCTCTGGGCGTAAACGTGGCCAAACTCGACGTTGCACGCCGCCGGCCAGCCCGCGCGGGGGGCGAGCGCCATCGCGCAGGCATCCAGCAGCCTGGGAACGAGAGCGAGTCCAGATACCCTCACAGAAAACACGTCACGCCATGCATCTCTGATGCGGGGTCAGCTGAGGGCCTTAAGGCCCAAGGCCTTCTTGAACGGGCCCGCGCAAAAACGAAATCCATTGGCACTGGGGGGTTCTTGACACAGGACCCGCTCGTTCTTTCGCTGAACAGCGAGCCGCGACGCGCGGGAAATCACCGAACGCGAAGTCTATCCGATAATCACTTCGCGATCATAACCGTCGTAAAGAAGTGAGAGGGGTCGCCGACCGCCAACCCGCTCTGGCCAGCGACAGGCGCGCGCGCGCAACAAGGGGCCACGGGAGGAGCACCCCGTGACCTCATCATTGTACCTGACAGATCTCCACAGCTTGGCAATTGTGTCAATGTTGCACTGGGAGATGGAGGGGGCGGTAAGGGCATGCCAGATAATCGCAGCCCGCTGTAGAGCAGGCCGCGCCGATGGCCGCCAGAAAGGACCCCTGGGCAGCACCGCCGCGGTGCCGCGGCAGGTGGCAGGACAACAAAACCCTACGAGCTTCTGGAAGCTCAATGTTTGACATCCCAACCACCGCGGAGCCGAGCCTGGCCGCAGGCTGGACCCCGGCGACGTCTTCCCCCTCCTATGTTTCTTCAGGGAAGCCTGGAACGATGCCGATGCACAACTGAATCACGTGCAGGCGCCGTTTCCGTTTCCAGAGACCCCGTTTTGCACGTCTTCGCTGGCCCAGCGCGAAGTCGGCGCCCGGGGGGGACGCGCCGTTGGTCACCTGCCCCGCAATCCTGCCAAGGGGAGAAGCGTTTTTTTCCAGCGAGAGGCCGCCGGCGAAAGTGCTGACCTCGTCGGGCCGAACGCCCGCGCGCAGCTCATCCCTGAACAGAATGTACAACGCAGCGACAGCCTGAGCGATGTTGGCCAGAACTGCTTGTTCCGACCCACGGGCGGTGACGCTGTCTTAGGGCAGTGCCTCATAATAGGCCCCAAGACGGAGTAACCAGGGGCCCGTCGGCAATTATGCGTGGCCTGAGCACCCACAGGATTGGCAAGGAGAGGCCGATGGACTCGCAATGCAATGCCTAGTCCCGCCCCGAATCGCCCCCCCCCCCCCCCGCCCCTTTGTCGTCCTGTTGCGCAACTTTAGCATGCGCCGCCCGAAGTCACGCGGCATCTTCAACGCTGCGGCCAGGGCCGAACACGCGGGAAATTCGCGTCGAAATCCACGATCGCAGGTCTTCTCGCCCGTCCCCGAACTCGGGCGGGGCCAGCGCGCGGAAGGACGGGGCGGAGGCCCCCCTAAGTTTCTCGAGCACCGAAAGCAAGAACCAAAACAATTGCTTGGGAAACAAGCCGAGGGACCCGATCGCTTGAATTATCAGACCAAGCGTGTCCAAGGCCTCGCCAGAAACTTGCGCAGGCTGCCTCGGGCGCAGCCCATCGAGAGACTGCGAGGTGCGCGGCGACAAACTGCGAG